TAGAAAATAGAATAAGAATGAATTATCTTACCTATCACATGTTACATACTGATATCTACTGGGAAAACAGAGGCAGCTACTTGGAGTAAGACTAAGAGGAAATGACATAAAAAGACCACTTGCAAAAAGAACTTTTAAAACAAGACAAACAAAACACCTCTACGGAAAGCCAAAACTTCAAAGGTATAGTATCTATGTCTATTTCTCTTGCATGTGCCATCTTCTTCATGCATTTGAACACTGATTAGTAGCATTTGGCTAGAACTAACATGATTAATTAAAATCAGTTAAATTCTATTTAGCATCATAACTTTCTTGATTTATTTATGTTTGACAGATGGAGGCAGTAGTTATAGACAAGAAGGATCCCCTCTCTGCAAAAAAAGAAATTCTTACTTGACAAATAACTGAGAGCTTTTAAGGGGATTGGACAAAATCTAGTTTTGTCACTTGGTAATGGTGTGAAAAGAACTAACAGAAATTTATCTTACCAAGGTTGATTGGGACTTTATTAAAGGATTGATTATATTGAGCCTAATCTGGTAATATGTTATGGCATAGAATGACATATGTGTAAGTTAGGATGATTATTTGAAAGACTGTGTTATAATCTATGTGAAGGATGAGGATCTGATATTAAAGGATCAATACAGGAATAAAATATTTAGAAAAGGAAATGGTCATGAAGTGAATATAATATTAGAACTATAGGACTTGTGGGTAATTTGGAGACAGTCACAGCTAAATACAAGTTTTGATCCTGGAGATGGGGGGAGTTTCTCAGTAGTGTAGCACTTGTTTAGCATGCACAAGCCCTGTGGTTCAATCTCAGTACTTACATAGAAAAAAATTCTGGATGATCAGAAAAATGGTAATGGCTTCAACACAACAGCAAGGGTGGAGAGAGAGAGAGAGAGAAAGAGAGAGAGAGAAATCAGGAAGTCTTTATTTCCTTTTCTACTTCTTTCAAGAGAGGTGGTAGTGAAGTTTGTATCTCCAGACAGAGTTTGTTGGATCTGTTTCCACAAATTCTTTTTTTTAGGTACCAGGGATTGAACTCACAATCTTGCACTTTGCAGGCAGATGCTTATGTCGCTGAGCTAAATCCTCAGCCCTGTTTTTGCAATTTCTTTCAGAAAATAGAGATGATGGAACCTTTTCCAACACATACTATTAAGGGCGGTATTATCCTAATAGGCAAATATATCACAGGAAAGTATAGAGTGTTCTTTGTCATGAATCTAGATACAGTTATCTTGAACAGAATATTAGCAAATTGAATCTGTTAGCATTTTAACTACATTATATACAATGATTAGTTGGGATTTGTTAAAAGAAATCAGTTAATGTAATACACTATAATAGAATAAAGGATCAAACCTATGGAATCATCTCAATAGATTCAGCAAAGCATTTGCCCTCCAATGATGATTAATAAAAGAAGGAACTTTCTCAATCTGGTAAAAGGCATCTATGAAAAACTTGTAGCTAGGATCATAATGTATGTATTCTGAAATGATTATGATGATTATATACTATTGTAGAGAGTTGCAGGGCTATGGCGTGGTCTGGGCATGATTGAACTGAGAAGGAAGAGACACTCGGGGGCAAGATAGGCCACAGCTGAGGCCACCTGGTGACTTTCTGGATAGTTTTCTTTGGTTAGCATCATCTGTTGCTCTGAAGGATCCTTGAACCACCCCCCCCCCCCAAGATCCTGTTCAAGTTTCCTCCATTGTCCACTGAACTTCTTGCTTATTCTAATTAAATACAGGCTGCATAGCATCAGTCAGCTGGCCAGCTAGCAGATTTCACTCCTCCTGCAGCCCTAAAGACCATGTTGCTTTGCCTTATTCCTTTGAGCCTTCACTATGCACCTTTTTGGGAGATTGGGGTCTACGCACAGACCCCAACAATATACTATGTATATTTACTTAAAAATCAAACTCTACACTGTATTGAGTGAATTTTATAGTGCATGAATTATACTTTAGCGAAGGCATTCTAAAGCTATTTTGGATAGATTACAGATATTCGAGCATATATGTCCTTCAAAGCACTGATGACTTTTTATGAGGTTGGAGATACACACTTAGCAGTCCTAATGCAAGTTAACTTGTGAAGTATGGAAATCTCATCAACATTGTACCTTTTCATATTATGTATTTTGGAGTAAACATTTATAATTATTTGTATACTTTACAAAGTGGTATATTCCAAACTAAATTTATTGTCTGTACTTAACCTGCTCTCCTGCAGTCCTGGTTATTGTTCATGGCATCACAGTAGTTTTAGTACTTCAAATGTGTACTCTTTTAGCTACTGTTTTTATTTTTCCTCTGCTTTTCAGAACTGGTTAAGTTTTATTTTCTGCCCATGTTGATTGTCAGGTTCATACTTCATTATATGAACATAATCGCATTACCACTACTTCAATATAAAACCTATTCATTATTATCATATCATATTATTTACCTTGTTGGGTGTCTTGGTTACTTTTGCTTGTCCTTAAGACAAAACACATGACACCTAACAAGAAGGAAGGAAAGGTTTATTTCTTACAGTTTTTTTGAGGTTTCAGTCTGTATTCAACTGGTTCCATGGCAGAGTGGTATGGCTGACGGGCAGCAATTTATGGTGGCTGCATTTAGCAAGGGCAAACAGAGCAAAAGAGAGAAGATATGACTTTTTCCTGCCATTACACTGTATACTAGCTCCACCCCTGGATGGGTGTAGCACTCACAAACCACCAGTCCATGTACTAGACAACAAACCAATCCTAAACTCTAGATTTGGCTGCATCCATGATTGCATGAGGCTTTTGGGGGCTACCTACATAAACCATGACAGGTGGCTTTCCCTTCTTGCTCTCCTCCCTTTTTAGAATTTCTGTAATCATTTTTTGGTTTCCAGTGTCATTTTCTTCTAGAGTATGATTATATGTACTGCAAGATTAACTTATGTACCATGTATTTATTAACATGTCTACTCAAAGCCTTTTTTTGACTCCTCATTTTTTTACTTGCCTTCAGCCCATGAGCTTGATATTAAAGATAGTTAGAAGTTTGTCCATGTACGTCTTTCCAGGATTATCTCATTGTTTATTTTTATGTCACCTAAAATAGTCACTGTTTACTGTGATGCCTTTTTCCCCCCAGCACTATTTCTTTGCTTATTCTGTTCCAGTTGCCAGGTTTTACACATTCTAAGATTTTACTTTTGTCCTTTTGTGGTGCTACAATCTTGAAGATTTTATTCATTGTCCTGAATAGGCACACTTTTCTCCTATATATGCTCATAAACATTTCTTCATCCTTAATGTTTTACTACTTTTTCCTTTGTTTCTAGTCATCTATGTGGTTCTCTATTGCCAGAATTCTATCTTGGTGGGTGTTTTGGTTACATCTAGAAAAATACCTTGAATAAATGTTAAATAAATGAAAGCATAAAATAAATAAAAACATTCTTTTGAAAGTTTTTTAAATCAGGTCTTTTTGTTAAGAGTTCTGTGGGGAAACAGGACAAAAAAGACACAAAACATGAAGTCTTTGATCTAGGCTTTGCTGATTAAGTGTTTGATATAAGACCAAGATCTACATGTGTACTGTTGGAATTTCAGAATTTTTTCATTTGTTTTATGCAGAACACCAAAATAATGAGCTATTCAAAAGACCATACTAATAGTAGTTTAATAGTACAATTGCCATTGATAATGAGTACAATTAAATAAGCAGCCATTCCATTTTCAAGATGACTGTTTCTACTTTTTTTTAAATTGCAGAATATTTTAGGACTTCTATATGAGAAATTAGACTACCATTTGAAAAATATAGATATTTCTCTTAATATTTCATTATCTGGCTACCGTGATGGTTTTTAGGAATTTTAAATGGAAATCTTTTAACTTTAAATATTGGTATATTGTTTCACTACTTCTGGTATGATATTTTTGGGAATCAAGGTGACAGTTTGAAGAATGTATTACCCGATTTTATCTTTCAGTTTTCTCAGAATTTCTCTAAGTCTTACACTGTATCTGAATGCTACTAGTGTGAATAGAATTTCATGGTTAAGAGAATAGATTTAGAGGCCATTAAACATAGTTGAAATCCTGGCCTATTATTTTAATGTGTGAGTGATTATAGAAACGGTATGTTATGTTTTAATCCCCACCATATATTCTTGGGAACTCTAATGATTTCTGTTATAGATCTATAATTTTCTTTTGTAGCAATGGAAACTCTTTAAACTGCTGTTTTAGAATGGTAGAGTAGTTGATTCAAGCTCAGTTCCCAACTCCTTTGGGTCTAAAATGAATTGATTTTATCAGTAGGATCTGTTTGCAGTAGTTGATCAGAAAAACAGTTGCTTTTCTTTTCATTTCAAGATGGAAGTTTTCCTGGAAATTTTTCAGGTTATGACTTGTGAGCTTCTTTTAGCCCCACTCTCTTTAGGAAGTTTACCCATTGTGCTGCTAGAGTGAGGGGTAAGAGCGCCATCTTTGGAATTGGCCCACCACGGATTGTAGCTCCTGAACATCTATGAGTCCCATTTCTTTATGCTACAGCCTGACGACTTCCTTGATAAAATTTTATGCTTTAAACAAATAGTACATCTACATAGTTTAGCACCTCAACTGCAGCATAGTAAGCCCAAAGTAAATATTAGGGCTTGGCTGCGAAGGGCTGTGTAGTTTGGAGTAATGAGGATTATATTATAATTAAAGAAAGATATTGACTCTGCGTGTTATCTGGCACACAGTGATGTTAAGTAAGAATATATCCTTTATCCTTATTTACCAATACTACCACTCTCTTGGCTCTGAGCAGGTAAAAAGTAGATGGCTTTCTGGGTATAATGAGTCTTGCTTCAGATGTCCAGATAGAAAAATGAATAGCTGGGTTATTATATTTCTGAATGTCATAAATGAGGTTTTAGAATTAGATGTGTAGACATCACGTTACAGGTGTGTAAACTAAGCTGTTTATCTGCTTGCACAGATGCTGTTGACAGAATACTTGGACATGAAAAATACTCGTACAGCTTCAGAACCATCAGCTCAACTCAGCTATGCTAGTACTGGACGAGAATTTGCAGCCTTTTTTGCCAAAAAGAAACCACAAAGGCCAAAAAATTCGCTTTTCAAGTACGTATTATTCTGCTGCTAAGAAAGCGGTGTCAAGAAGTTTTAGATTCAAGTAGGATGATTTTCTGCTTTATTGTCAGCCATTACTTTCTCCAGCTGAAGTTGATATGAAATAATTTATAGTTGATAGATACATATGTTAATTTTGTTTACTTTTTAATATAAGTTAATGTGACAAATTTTGAATAGCTATTTTAGAATATGGTTACTAAACTATCTAAAACTAATAAAAATTTCTTTAAAATTTGTTTCTGGGGAACTTTATATAAAATTAAGACAAATGAAACATCTCTAGAGAATTTTATTTGAAACCAAAGGAAATAATGTATGTCTGCTTTAATCCTCAAGTACAAAAAAGTAACAGTTAATGACGTTATATAACTCTATGTTCATACTGTTGGTATTTACATGATTGGTTGTTCAATTAAAAAATAATCTGAAAGTTTTTAAAAATTTACTTTCTTGATTAACTCTAGAAGGCAGTATGCTCAAGCTATGTGTCTTTGGTAACACCTAATAGTTAATATTATTAATGTTATTATTGGTATTGTTTACTGCCATTGATTAAGTGCTTCCTATGTGTGAGTTTTTCAAAATAATGTTAATTAAACATAATTTGATTTATAGCATTTCAGGAGAAATAGTAGAAGCTAACATTTATTGATTCCTTACTATGTACTAGCTGAGATTTTTACCATTTTTATGAATTATGTTTTTTGCTCATTATGACTTTATAGGCAAGTATGCTATTTTAATCAAATCATCCATATAAAATATTGAGATGCAAGAAAGGCTAAGATCACATAGCTAACAAGTGGTGAAACTAGGTTTAATTTCTGGCAATCTAACTTCAGACCTGTGTATGCTTTTGAGGATTTAACAGATACATATAAAGTTTATTTATAAATGCAAGATGTATCATTCTATTTCTTTGAATTCTTTTGCAGTAGCTAAAGCTCTATTATATTTTAATCTTCCATCTTTGTCTTAGTTATTTTTCTCTCATTGCTAGGATAAAATACATGGCACCCAAAGTTAAAGGGGAAAAGGTTTATTTAGCTTACGGCTGTAGAACTTTCAGTGCGTAATTGTCTGGCTCCAAGGCAGAGTGACTTGCCAAGAACAATTCATGTTGCCCACAAGGCAACAAAAGCAACAAGGGTAAAGGCAGAGATGAGCCCCTTTTTGTCCTTTATATTATATCAGTCAACTGGCATTAGAATTGATCTGGCAGTCATCCACCCTTAATCTCAGCACTGCACAGTCTAGATTCAAAAATCGTATGATCAGTCACATGAGGCTTTGGTGGGACATCTAGACACAAATCATAACAACCTTTGAGATTTGTTTCACTTTGGATTGATAGTACTCATAATAATTAAAGAAAGATTCAAAGTTAAATTATTGTTTAATGGATAGGAGATTTAGTGTTTATTGAAGACAGATCTCCTTCCTTAGTTTATTCATTGGGTAGATGTATCAGGTAAAATACTTCAGGCTGCAAGTAACAAACCATCCAGATATTAATATGAGAAAGTTCTTATCTGATCAAATAAGGATGAATGTGATGATTTTCTTATTTAACACTAAAGTATCTGGCTCTTACCTCTCTGCCTTATCATCCCCAACAAATCAGCAGTTCTTTGTATGGCAATTGCAAGATGTTTGTCATTTCTATTCTGAAAGAAAGAAATATGATGTGATCCTGTTAATCTTTTAAAATTTATTTAATAGACTTAATTATTTTAAGAGTAGTTGTAGGTTTAAAGTAAAGCAGGAAGTATAAAATTCCCTTATATCGCCCGTTTTTCCTATTAATGTTTTGCATTAATGATATATTTTTTAAAATTGATAAACCAATATTACTGTAATATTATTAACTGAAGGCCATAAATTATGTTAGGGTTCACTGTTTTTGTTGTGCATTTCTAAGGGGTTTTGGTAAATACATGATGTCACCTGCCCACTAATAGAATGCCATACTGAATGATGCAGCTCCAGATATCTTAAGTGCTTCATGTAGGCTTCCCTACACTCCTTCTTGATCCCTGGAAACCACTGATATATTTATTGTCTTTGTGGTTTTTCCCTTTCAAGAATATTCCATATTTTGAACCATGCATAAAGTTACCTTTTCAGACTTCATTCATTCACTTAGCTATATTTGTTTCTCTCACTTCTTTTTGTGGGCTTTTTAGTAATTTCTTTTTATTGCTGAATAAGGCTCCTTTGTGTAACTATACCATAGCGTACCTATCTATTTCACCTGTTGGAAGATATCTTCACAATTAGAATAAAGCCTGTAATACACACTTTTGTACAAAGATTTTACATGGACATGTTCTCAACTCATTTGAGTAAATATGTTTGGAGCACAATTGATGGATTGCATGCTGTTTAACTTTGTATGACACTGCCAGATTTTTTCCTAAGTGGCTGTACCACTTCAAATATCTTTTTTTTATTAACAATTCATTAATCTTTTTTTTGCCAAATCCCGAGAAGCAACCAAAACTGTCTCAGAGTTGCTTGGTTAGGCAGGCATTGCTTTCCCCTTTCCTAGCCCTCCTTTTTTTCTGCCAGCCCAGCTGTGTACTCACTCCCTCATTTCCTCCCTCTCTTTTTTTCCCTCTCTCCCTCTATGCTTTCCTCCTCCTCTCTCTCTCTACCTACCAGCCCAACTTACCATTCTGTGTAGGTTTATTGTAGAAAGTAAAGGGTTTTTAGATTCTGTGCTCAACAGTCACCTTTGTCTTAATATCTCATTGTTGAGACATAATAGGAAACACCCAAAAGAGGAAATGTTTATTTTAGTTCACAGTTTGTAGATGTTTCCTTCCATATTTAGTTGGCTTTAAGGGTGGCTTGGCAGAAGGGATAGGAAAGGGATTTATATTCTCAGCAGGAAGCAGAGAGTAAACAAGGGAGGGAGGAAGGAGACAGAACCTCCAGGCCATGCCATCAACAAAACCTACCACCTCCAACCAGACTTTACCTCCTAATATCACATTCAGCTACAGGCTCATCAGTGGGCTAATCCATTGTCTTGTGTGCTCATCAGTGATCCAGTCACCTGCTAAAGACCCCACCTATGACTGAACTGGGCTTTTGGAATACATCTAGGTAACAAACGTAGTAACCTCTACCTTTCAACCTTGGATCATAGAAACATGTTCCAAAATTTAGCCAGTGCTTCTAAAGTTGTGGTATTGGATGAAAAAACTAATTGCTGGAAATTAAAAAATTAGCTTGTTTAATTGTTACACATTTATCATCACTGACATGGAATTAGGAGGTTATTAGACATTTGTCTACTTCTAGTGTTGGCTCTCCTTTTAATGAGCTGTGTGTTCTTGAGCAGCTCTCCTGTTTTGCCGGGCCTCAGTGCCTTCAGCCATAAAATAAAGAGGTGAGATTGAATAACCTCTAAAGTCTCTTTTACTGATGATTGTATCAATCTGTGATTTGTTGCAACATAAAAAGAATTTCTGAGTAGCAAAAATACATCAGGTCCTAAAGGATTAAGATTTTGGAGAGCTGTGATCTGTTTTTCTCACTGCTGTGAAGAACTTTATTACCCTCTTTAATTGCCCTCAGCCAAGGTTAATTAAGTGTGTTTAAATTTCTCATACTGTACAGTGTGTAACTCTGTATTCTTTGCTGAAGAATTTATTATTTTCCCTCGCCATCTCTGATCAATGGCTGTCAGCATGCCTTTTAGAGGTCAGTAGCTTCTTTTCTGCACTTGACTGGCAGGTGGCACTTTTGAATACTGCCCACTTTGCTTTCCATCCAGCTGGGAGTGTCTCTTAGTTCTTGGTGGGGTGCAGAGAGAAGATCAAGTAAAGCAAGTGTTCCCTTTCAGACTGACATCAATCTTGGTTATTCATCTTCCTTGTTAACAAATGGATAAAGAAGATATAATTAAGAAAATTATTATGCTCCTTCCTTGTTGCTTGAAACCTACCCCTTTGTCACTTCTGCTCTTTCATTTTGCTGTTGTTCACTCCTTGGTGGCAAGAATGATAGAAAGGTTCCTTTTCTCTTTTGTCAGACTGTTTTCCTACCTTTGTAACACTTAAGGTTTGAAATGGAATCCAATTATTTTACCTGATTATTTTTCATTTTTGTGTTTATTATTTTGGTTTTTAGCGACTGCTTTTTAGCATGAATTTTGTCTCTGAGCTTCGAAAAACTGTTTTTAGTTAGGTATGAATGAACACTTGATAGCTTGGTATTTTCAAGAGCATTTTATGAGGGGAAGATGGCAGATTAAAAACTAGCAGCCACTTGGAAACGGCATTTTTAAGGACATTTAGGGAGATCACAAATATGCTTTGCTTTGATGTTATTATTCAGCATTATTTCCATTAATGCTTTTGTACTAGTATTTGAGCTGGGGGAGTGAGAAAGGCAAGAATTCTCCCTTGAGGAGCTAATATGTCTGTGGTGTTACTTAGTAGTCATTGATGGGTTTTAAACTGGAAAATAACAAAAATAAGAATGACCAAAGGATACTATTGGTACTGAGCGTGTAGGAATCCCGTCAAAGGATGGTGCTAGTGTAAAGGCAAAGGCAGGTTGAGGCAACTCAGAGTTGTACCAGTTGAAATGAAGAATAAGTAAAAGATACAAATACTGTCATAGAGGAGTATTAGCCAGAAATGTTGTCTATAAATCAAGGTCCGGGGCTGTTGTCTCTAGCCCTGTTATGGTTAACCCAAAATGTCAAGATTTGGAATACCAGGGAGTATCTCATATACCAAGAGAAGGCCTTTTTAACACTTTTTGGAGTGCGACCCTAGATACCACCTGTGCTGTTGCTCCCTGGTCACTTATTTACCCTGTCTCTCACTGCAGATTTGAATCATCGTCCCATGCTATCAGTATGAGTGCCTATTTGCGAGAGCAGAGAAGAGAGCTCTACAGTCGGAGTGGAGAACTTCAAGGTAGGTGATTGGACTTCTTTGAACAAATTAATTTCTAGAGGAAGAGCATATTAAGTTTGTGGTTTGCATGTACCGAATTTTTTCTAGAAACAAACATTTAAAGAGTTTCTGTTCTGTTTCTTCTATAATTTTCTGGCATGTACTGCCAAGGATCTAAAAAAACATTACTGTGGCCAGAGGGCTTTATACATGCTATGTTTTAAGTGAAATTTTGAGCAAAAAAAGGTAAGGCCAGGCTCTTCTTGTTTAGTTAGCAGCTAGTTCTAGTCAGGATGTAGCACAATGCGTCTTTTCTGTGATGGCTACTATCACTCTTCTTTTCATTATTATTTTTGACACCTTTTAAGAGTATGGCAAGTATAAATGAAATTTGGAAAAAGGCAAATAAAACATCTGGCATTGTTTAAAGGGAATAAAGATGGCTCTGTATAGTGTGGTATCAAGTATCCCCAAAATTATGTTGATTGGACAACACATCTTCTTTATCCATTTATTGATTGATAGATATTTGGGCTGTTTCCAAGCAGTACCACTATACACATAGGTGTGCATAATATCACAGGGACATAATGCTTTCAGTTCTTTTGGGAAGATGCCGAGAAGGGGACTAGCTAGGTTAAAAGGAACCTCTAGAGATTTTTCTCTTTTTTTGAGGACTCTCCACATTGACTTTCATAATGGATGGCCACAAAGTATGGAAGGAAATGATGCTGCATAGAACACAGTTCTTACAGGAGCTGAAATTGTACTTGAAATATCATTTGGGGGTATAAAATTATCTAGGGTTTGTGTAAGTGCCTTATTTAGTGCCCTGCTTTGTATTTCTTTTCAGAGTTGCCTGAAGAAATAGTTCAAATTGGCCTCCATTATTTTTTTCCACCTGACTTCTATTGTATTAAATTCCTTTACTGGTGATAAAACCGACTTCCTCCCTTGTTCTCTTCCTCTCTCTCTCTTCTTCCATCTTTCCTTCCTTTCTTTGAATCCTTGTCATATCATTCTAAAATTCTTTAAAATTAATTTATTAGTATATTATACACACACACACACACACACACACACACACACACACTCATCATAGAGAATTTGTACCTGTACATAATATATCTTTCTTTTTCCTCTAATCCCTTTCCCTCCCTTCAGCTCTCCCCACCTTGAAATTTACAAAAGCAGTTTCCATTTTTTCCTCCTGTACTCTTTCTCCTCTTTCTGTTGTGTCAGTAAAAAAATTAATCTTTTAAATAAAAAAATTAATAAATATCATAACGAGCCTTTTTAGTTTTACGTCATGATTGAGTAGGAAATACAGAGTTCCTACAGAGCTGAGTTCCCCTCCTTCCCTGCCCTACACTTCTGTTGACATCCTGCTCTGTAGTGAAGCTTTTCCTTTACTACTTTAAGATGAAAAGTTAGGACACATACTCACAACAACAGTCAACACAGGCTGTCACTCGCTCAGATACAAGCCTTATCAACCTTTTTTGTTAGACAATACAAATGAACACTTTATTCCTGGTATATCACCCTCCCACCAACAACACCTCCACCACCAAAAAAACAGAAACAAAAACACTGTGTTGCTGCCATTAGAACAATTTGTAGTGCTTTTTCCGTGGTCCCTCATCTCTCAAGAGCCAGTGGAGCATAGTGTGGCAATACAGCGTAGGAGGTTCTAGGCACAGTTGGTCTATGTTTAAAAACTTACAACTGTGCAGCCTTGATTAAGGTATGTGGCCTCTGTCCTCTTTTATATTTTTTTTAAAAATAATAGTACCTACCCCATGAGGTGGTAGTGCAAGTTAGAAGAGTTAAGCTGTATATGGTTTTTAAATAAGTATCTAACATACAATGAATGTAATATCTTCCTTCTCCTTGAATGTTTAGAGTTTTCACATTCATTGTTTTTGTCTTTTATTCATCTACATCATACTCAGCTTTCTAAGTCAAATTTAAAGGTCATTTATTCTGACAATTTTCTTTGCTGGCTACTCTGCTCCCCAGCATACCACAAACACATGTACACTGGTTTGTGTAGTCCTGCCATATCTTTATGTTCCCTTCCTGAGTACTTTACATATTAATCGTGGGTGCAATCTTGTTTGTGTTTGTCATAAAATTATATGGTCCATGAGTGAAATTGTATTTTAATAATATTTTAATTCTTGTGCTTTGCATAATGCTGCATACAGTAAATGTTCATTAAATGTTAGTTGATTCAGTCAGAGAAAGAATGAGGACAGTCACTGTGCAAAGTATGTAGAAAGATCACTGAGGAGAAGAAGAGGTGAGCTTGTTATCAGCCATCATCAGCCTCCTAGGTTTCCATGTGTTTTGAAGTTTAAGGAGAAGTACAGGCTATGCATATGGTTTGTTCTCTTTAGTCACACTATCCATAAGCTTTATGAAAAAGGGCAGTTGCTCCTGAGCGGTCTAGCCCCTGAGGAAACTTCTATATGTATTTTAAAAAACACTTTAAAATTCAAGTTACAGAGAAGTTTTATTTGAGGGTGGTATAGAAGCCCTATAACTTTCCCATCTTTCAAGAGGTTCATTCAAATGTGGAACTTTTAAGTGTCAGTCTTTTGCATTTATAGTGTGTGGCAAGACAGGAAAAGTATCTCTGGTCATAAGTGAAAAAGCAGTCTTGAAACACATCATGTTCATAATAATCATTAAAAATATTTCACTTGAGCTGACATCTCATGCGGTTGGTGAGAAAATGAATCAGCTGACTAGATTTTGTAAAAGTCTGATGGCATTTATTCAGGAGCAGAAGTTTCTCTGAGTTTCTCTTTTATCATTTCAGCAGGAAAAAGGCAGGAAATCACACCTATTTTCCATTAAAAACGGCCATCCTTTTTTAGTTGTTCCATTAATCTGACACATCCAAGAACCACAGTGTGATCTGCATTTCAGCTTACCCTTGAAAAGGCATAATTGAATAGTTCTGTCAAATTGTAAGAGACTGGCAGAAGATTTTTGTCTATTCTCAACACCAAATACCTACAGGCTTCGCTTCCCAGTGGTTTGGTTCATGGGGGTCAATTTTTCTTTCTGTTGCATGGGAGCAACAGAAATAATCTACCATAGAGAACATCAAAGTAGCATTAAAAAGTTCAAATTTTAAAAAGTTAAGTTCCTGTTAATATCTTCAGTTTATCCTGTAATTAAAAATATTACTCAGCCTAACAATGCACAAGGGACAGTGTAATGTAAAAATAAGATTTCTTTGGTATTATCAACCCATCTCAGTTGGCTCTAACTGTTGTGGTACAGATGGTTCATTATATAGTCTGCCTTTGGCAATTCAGCTGAGGAGGTGGGGGTGCTACTTCAAAGTGTGTGAGATAACAGGTGGAAATCTAGCTTGTGTATGTGTACATTAATCATCGACTTCCTGTTGTTTTGAGCCACTCTTGCTTCATTGTATTGCTTACTTAGACTGCAGTGCTGTAGGCGAAGAAAGGGGTTTAATGAGCAGTTAGCTTGACTATAACTTCTCAGATTTAATTTTCAATGCTTTGGGAGAATAAGGTAACTGATGAGCTCCTTATCTCATGAGGATAAAAAAACCGTCAAAATAATTCTGCTCATAACCAAAATAAACTCTTAGGCTAATCAATCTGTGCCTCAAATTTCTCAAATGAAAACATGGAGTCATTTTCGATGTTTAGGGGCATATTGTGAATAGTAAGCTAGAAGTTTAAACATCGGGAAATTAGAATGATGATTTTGATTTAAAGTAAAATAGTCCTTTTAAAAATTACCATTGTTGCAGTAGAAGGATTACCTCTTCTTTCTTGCCTCTGATTTTCTCCTTAACTTCAATCAACTTAGTTGACGCTCCTTGAGGTTCCCAGAGACTGCCATCCTGGTGGATTCTACTTTTCTGGATTCTTCTCACTTTGCTTTTAACCCACTATTTTCTTTTTCATGTTTCTCCTGAGTCTAGCTAGGTAACATAGTGTTTTTCCTGGAACTTATTCTGTGTTTGCTCTGAAACTCTCCTGACATGCCTGGAGCCTTGCATTAGTTAATGCCTATGCACACAGCACCTCTAGATCTGTGTCTCCTATTGAAATTTCATTATTGTTTCCTGACCTCTTCTTATGTCTACCTCTACATTCTGCAATCTTTTATTGTGACAGTTAAGAAATTTTCTTATAATACATTTTTTTAAAAAACATTTTTTGGTACCAGGGATCGAACTCATAACTTTGCACTTACCAGGCAAGTAGTTGAGCCGCTGAGCTAAATCCCCGGCCCCATAATACTTTTCCTAATATGCACATATATTATTTACTTGTTAATATGTTGATTTTCTACACTTCCCTTTCACCCAAATGCAAGTCTTATTCACTGATACACACCAGTGCCATAATGCTGGGGTCTTAAAAAAGTATGTGATAGGGAATTGGGGTTGCCTGCATTTAATCCCAATATATTTGATGAAGAAAATCCTCTATATTTCCTTATTTGTAGGTAGAAGCTTTCTTATTTGAGAAGCCCTAGTGGAAGCTTTAATAAACAGAGTAGGAGTCATATGATACATCTTCTCTGATTTATAAAGGTAAAACTCATGAACAGGCAGAGTTTATTAACAGACATTGATTGGAGTAAAAATGTATACTGTTTTGATTACAGTTCTTTTTTGTCGTGGGGCTACTTAGTACTCCTGTTTGTACTCAGTGATACTGTCTTTAGAGTGCCATTTTTATTCTGTTTAATCAATAGCATTTCGGTAGCCCTAATATTAACATATTCTATAAAGCTCCAACCACTTGAGAATTGACTTTCCTAAAAGGATTTGCTTTACATAGTAAATATGAAAGTTCTGGCATCAGAGAAAACTGGGCTCTTTACTGGCCTGACCTGAATTTTCTGAGTTTTCCTCTCTAATGGGTTGCTGAGGATTGGAGCTGTGAATACTTAATGATATTGTATGTAATTAATCTGTCTGGAGGTGCCTTGCCTTAAGGTATGACAATATTTGAGATAGA